GAGCCGGCTTGGCCGGCAGGCAGGCTTGGAGGCCGGGACCCCGGGGGTGGGCTTCCCCGCAGGGGAGGGACCCGCTCTCACCGTGCAACCCCCCGGGACCCCCCAGCCCGTCCCCTCCCCGGGATGGGGCACCGCCCGTAAGCAAGCGAGGGGGGCAGAGCCCCCCCAGGACTAACGGAAGCCTTTGCTCTCTTCCAGGGCGGAGACGGCGCCATGGCCGGGCCCCTCCGAGGTCTCCAGCGGTTGCCAGCCCTGCTCCGCCGCCCCGCCTGGCAGGCCCCTCCGAGGCACGGGCCCCTCCTGCTGCTCGGCTCCTGGGAGAGCCGGGCCCTCGAGGCCCCGCAGGCCAGGTACCTGGCCACGAAGAAGGCCAAAGGTGAGGAAAGCGTGTGTGTGCGTGTCTGTGCGCGTGTGTGGCAATGGTCATGGTCATGGTCACGGAGGTGGAAGGCCCCTTCAGGCCCTCCTCTCCCGCCCCCGCTTTCCCGCCTGTTTGGACCTGCTGAACTGGGAGGCCCACCATTTCCAACCGTGGAAAACACGCAAAGACTGAAGTCGCCCTATTGCTGATCCTGTAATTGTCACGGACTGTCGCATGACTTCAAATAAGCTGCTATAGCAAATCAAAGGGAAGAGACCGGCACGATCAAGGGGCTGCGATGCTCCCTCCTCCAAGACGGTCCATCCTTTTAGGGCTTCGGGATTCAGGATGGGGGAGCGATCGTAAGATGTTTATACTTTTCCAAGTATGGGAGGCTGGGCTTAGCAGAGGTCACCCCGTGAAACTGAGCGCCTACCTCAGAGGTGCTCCTGGCAGCAGGTCCTGAAGAAGTCCTGCGTAAGCGAACGACCCTTGGCTGTGCTCTTTGCAGCGAAAGGAAAAGGCCAGGCCCGCGTGAGCATCAACGCCTCCTTGGTGGAGGACGTCATTAACCTGGAAGAGCTGAATGAGGAGATGTGCTCTGTGGTCAAAACCCTGCAGGAAAATTTCAACAAAACTTTGAGCATCAGAACCAACCCGGGTGAGTGATTTCTCTCTGCAGCTTTTGGAGCACGGCTCCAACTCACTTGTTATTTTCTTATGCGCACTCCATATTTTCATATCAAAGTTAAAAATATTCTCTGCTTTTATTGCCTGGCTATAGCTCAAGGGTCTCACTAGACTGCGTAAGGTTCTAGATGTAATGGTGGCTACCAGCTTGGACTACTGTAGAAGGAGATGGGATGTGTTCAGGGAGGAGGAGGAAGAGGGTGTACTTCCTATGCGGTGAAAGAGAACATTCATATTCAAAGGCAATCTGCCTAAGAGAACCAGGGAATGGGAACATAAACCCCTTTTGGCAGGTTTTTAACAGGCATCAGATAATTCAGAAGCCCTTAAGCCAGCCACGTGACAGAGAATGGAACAGTCACTTGCCAGATAGGAGAGTTGCAACTGGCCACCAAATTAACACTCTTCCCAAAAATTTGGTAAATGTTTGGAATTAAGCAAAAACACCCATTTCATGGACTTGGCTGTCTTTTAGCAAGCCAGAAAGCATTCACATACAAGTCTTAACAGTAGCTATCACAGAAGGCAGCAAAGGCTTTCGCTACCATAGAAAGAAGTGTTTTTTGATCTTACCTTTTATCTAGTAGGTTGGATTCCTTATTAAATACTTTCTTCTTCCTCATTCTTTACGGGCTCGTAAACTTTTGTGGCAGGGAGCCCAAGAGCCGAGCGCAAGAGCCTGTAGGGAGGACAGAAGCACAATGCTGACATTAACAATTGTATTGGGCCAGGCCCTGCACGCTCCCACTGTTCCGAGTTAGGATTTCTCCATCTGACTGACCTTGACCTTGGCTCGGGCTACAGCACTGAATTGTATCCTTCCACAACATGCGCTACAGCTGTTTTGTGGGTCTTTTTAGTTCAGTGCATTTTTTCAGAAGCAGCCCTTCTAAATATCAAGAGCTTTCCAGATTGATTCCAAAGCTATATAAGCTGATGATTTGCATGGCTAAACGTAATGAAGTGCAATAAAAGCAGCAAGCCGTAATTATAAAGAGAGGAGGAACAATAACATCTACGCTGGGATGCCAATGTTGTATTTCTGATTCCAGGGGCTCTTGATTCTATCATTGTGACAACCAGTGATGGGAAATTTCCACTGAACCAGCTTGCGCAAATCTCCCAACAGTCTCCCCAGCTCCTTGTTGTCAACATGAGCAGCTTCCCAGAAGTGAGTAGATCTCTTGCTGCGCCAGCCTAGCAGATCCAAGTCTCCCAATCAGAGGTACACCCTGGGAGTGGGAAATCCTACTTTCCCCCCATCTCCTTCATCCCCGGGTGTCGCCTCTAGCTTGTGTCCCTGCCTTGGCATATGCAGTGGCTCTGACTGTTAAGTTCCCTGGGAGCAGAGACCTCGTTTTTGCTTTCGTTCTTGGATATTACTGAATAAGCTAGGCATAGTGTAGGAGCTTGTACAGAATCAAACCATGCAACAAAATTTGCTTTGGGAGGAAGAGGATTAAAAAAAAGACCAGGAAGGAGCAGGGAATCATTCCAGTGATTGGGAGTTTGAGCTGTGTTCCCCTCCACGCTGCTTCATTACTCCTCTCCAAGAGAAGAACACAACAGGATTTTTGTTAAGAGAAGTGAGGTAGCAAACGCAAAAGGAGCCCCTGTGACCAGCTTAGGCCAGGCGTGTGTGGAATCTGGACTGCCCAGTCACCGTCTCTGATGCAGCAGAGAGCACACGGTCCTCGCTCTGCTGGCTGCCAAAGGGCTGTGTGTGGCACAAAGGCTCAGCCTGTGGGTGGGGCCAGAGGTTTCCAGCAACTGCCTGCCAGAAAATCCAGAGATGTGAAGAACAGGCCTGGTGCTAATCCCCCTTCTTTTCACACTTGCCCAGTGCAATGTGGAACGAGTTAACGTGATTGAGGTCTTCCCTCTAAGCCCCGACCACGTGAGAGCTTTGGCAGCCAAAGTCCCATCCTGGAATCTTTCATCTGCTTTCATCCTACATCTTCCAGAGTCCCGGGCCCCGTGAGGATTCACTGCCTCCTTTTCTATCTGCGTTGCCTCAAACCGTCAAAATGGTTTCCATTTTCCTTTCTGCCTTCTTCCTCACTTTCCTAGTCGTTCTCGCTCCCCCACCCCCGGAAGCCGCTTCACCGATATCTTCGATCCTGGGGGTGGGGGAGGGGGTGTCCTGCAGCTTGCAATTCAGTTTGATCAAAGGGGCCTGGGCCGATGTAACTTCCTGGTCTCGCCGGTAACCAAACTAAATGTTTCCATGTTCTGTCAAGATGGATTGCTCTCTGCTGATGGAGAGCCTCGGCGTCTGGTAATAATTATTTGCTAATTCCCCCTGCCTTTTTTGATCTCGGCGTTGCAGAGCACAGCTGCGGCTGTCAAGGCGATCCAACAGAGCGGAATGAATCTCAACCCGGAAGCAGATGGGCTGTTGATTCGCGTGCCAATTCCGAAGTAAGCAGCTTCACAACCTTCTTGCAATCCCTCAGCTGGGGCGGGGGGAACAATGCTGCAAGATATCTTGGACGATTCTGCCTGCCTCCCACTTGGCTAAACAAAAGGCGTTTCCACTTCGAATAGTCAGGTCCTCTCTGGAAATGCTTCTTGCCTCCTCCCTGCGCTTTGGATGAGGGGGCGAAAGAGCTCTTGACGGGTGGCCTAGCGCGGTACCCAAGAAAGCATTTTTCTATCCCAGGCAGGCCCGCCGGACATCCACCCCTTCTTGCTGGGCTTATTCTGACCCACTTATGCTGCCAGGCCATTTCAAATGTCCCTTTAAGGCTACCTTTTAATCTTCCCTGTTTTTAAAACAATTCTTTTGCTGAAATTTTAAACTTGGGGTTTTTTTTGGCAGGGTGGCAAAGCTATCCTAGAAGTGGGGGGCAGGGGGAGAGCAGCATGTGTTAAAGTATTCCTAGAGAATAAGCCATAAATGATTGTCCCAAGAGCTGCGAAAACTGGCTTCTTCTGGAGCATCCCTTTTCTCTCCTGGTGCACAAAAGCCACGTTTGGCAGTGCAGGATTCAAGCCCTTGGTTATCCCTTTTCTGCAAGGTGTGCTTGGTCCGGTTTTCCACTGGAAACCAGAAAGGGAGGTGTGTGTCTGTGAGCTGTACAAGGGTCTGATTTCACAGCTAAAATTTTCCAGGGCTGCTCTTGGAAGGCAGTTCTTGTGATCGACCTATAATATGTTTTAAGGGGGAAGAAAATCGGCTGGCTGAATTCCCTGCTCAAAGTCCACGTGTCATCTTTTTCCACCCACCCCTGCCCGGCAACATCACATTTTAAAAAGCATACGCAAATTGGAAGAAATGAGAGGAGAGGGGAACTGTCAGCAACTTCCAGCAGCCCCAGCCTGCAAGGCTAGCGATGAATGATGCTGGGAACAACTTTGAAATTACTTTCATTTCCCCAGACTAGCATCAAGATGGAACGGGATCTCTTTGGCGGCTCTGCCCAGGCAAATCCAGTTCCTAGGTCTCCCGCCACTCCCAGCATCCTTTCTCTCCCCTCTCTCTCGCAATTCTGAAGGAGGCTGCTATTATCCTCCTAATTGCGGAGGATTTCAGGCCGCTGTGCAGCAGCCTGATTGTTAACATGCTCCCAGGTCAACTTCCGATCTGAATTCCTGGAGAGGAAGAGAAATCCAAGAGCAGGCAAGGCAGAGAAGATCTGAACATCTCCCTCCCATTTTTGTTTTTTGTTTTGGTGCCATGGGTTACCTCGTGGCTCTTTCTTGTGACAAGATGCTGCATGTTTGCTTGCCACACTGCCTCATCTGGGAATGGAGGGAGGGCGCGGTCCAAATCGTATCCACCGGGGCAACAGCATGGTCACCACACTCCAGAGGCTGTAGCCACTAGAAAAGTCAGAGACCAAAACCTCTTGCGCCCTGCCGCTGTCCTGCCATCAGCCACCCGAGCCGTAGCTGCCCCTTCCTGTCTATCCTCCCTGTGGATTTATCCTTCATCCCTTCTGAACATTTTCTCCATTGTTTTCAAGTGTGCTTCTGTGGGCGTTTTTAAGAGCAGATCTCCTGTGCTCCACAGGGTTCAGGGCCATCCAAAGAAGGCCCTCTTCCCCTTTGGTGTTCTTTCACCAGGGTCACCCGTGAACACCGGGAGAACTTGGTTGCGGTTGCCAAGCAGCTCACCCACAAGGCCAAGGAGTCCCTGCGCAAAGTGCGCACTGTGGCCATCAACCAGACGAAGAAGGCCAAAAGCACCACGTCGGAGGACACCATCCGGTTAATAGAGAAACAGGTACCGAGTGAGTGGAAGACCCGGCTGCAGGCTGGTGCTGACTGCTAGAGCTAGGCTGGGCTGCCCTGATCTTGACAAGACACCCATCCCAGAACACAGAAATGTGGCACACCGCGTTAGAGGTCTCCCCGCTTCTGGACAGCTGTCTCTGGACTCTTGTGTTGGTCCAGATGGACTTCCCCTTGGTTCTTAGGCTTCTGATGAAAATCCTGATGCAAGCGTTGTGATTTGCTACCCGTCAGTCAGAATTAACACAGCGTTCTTTTCTCCGTTCGTGACAGATTCAGCAAATGGCTGATGACACCACAGCTGAAATGGACAAGCTCTTGGCAGCGAAGACGAAGGAGCTGCTTGCGTAGGGACCCTCCCCTTGCTTGGGAATCAGAGGTTGCCACAGGCTTCTTTCTTCCAGCTCAGTGGTCACAGACCCCCAGACGCGTCTCTACAGCGGTGATTTTTCACCCGCTGAAACCAGCTTTGGGCAGCAGGTCCAAGGCTCGGAATTGAGGGAGGAGGCTCAGCTTTGCTGTGGGCCAGAGAAAGAGAAGTTGGCTTTCTGAGGCTTGTAATCTCAGCTCCGTGAGGACAACAGCGTGGTCCTGCTGCCGAGGATACAGAAGCAATTTTGGCAAAAGGATGCCTAGGATCACAAGCAGTCATAACTGAAATGGCAGTGCCCGTTCTGCCATCCTGCCTGGCTTTGGGGAAGCCAAAGATGCAGAGGGGGGTCTTCATAAATCTGTCAGGGATTTCATATATTAAATAAAGTAGGTCTGAATGATCTAAGGACTCCTTGTTGTACCTACCCCTCATTCTTGGAGTGTCAGAGTGCAGGGAAAGTGGGTATGTCCTGGGGAGACTTGGATCACACTCTCATGAGAGGGCAAGCTCATTTATATTATTTATACGGTTGTATTCACAAATCTTGCTGAGCCATGGTCCTGAGTTTACAGGGCACGCTGGCTGGCTAGGCTCACCTAGGTTTTCTTCATCTAGCCTTAAGACACACTGAACCACAAACGATCCACGTAGGCCAGTTCGCACAGCATGGTAAGTGAAAATGTAGTTGGCTAAGCTGTGGCTGAGGGTGATAATGTGATCCCAGCCCTAACCATTTAGCTTAGGAGGCTGGACAAAATTCACTGCGCTGTTTCTAGGACGTGCGAACCTGTCTGAACGTGGGATTTCAGTTCATTCTGTGTTGGTTTGCTTGTTCCACCCAAACCTTTTGTAAATCCACATTGTGGGGGACAGAAAAAAGTGGGCGGAAAACAGAATTTAATCACTTTGCTCACTTGCGAGGTGGACCTGGACGGGGGTTACATGCGTGCAAATACAGTCATAAGCCCTGGATAAAAAATATCAAGCAATTACCCTGCCTGGTATGTAACCAAAAAAAAGCGGGGGGGGGAGAAACAGGTCGGGTGGTGGAGTGGGAAACCTAGCAGGCAAGCACGAGCTGCAGCCAATGTGGGAGTTCAAAAGAGAGGTGATTAGTCTCCTTTGAGCATTTTTTTGGGGGGGTGAGGGGGAACAGAACGGCTCGATTGCTTTTGTACGAAGGACAGAGGCGCCTGCTCCCTGATTGTGTCTTCGTGCCTTTCTGTCAAATAAGACCTGCGCGGGCTTGGCGTGTCGGGGTTTACCAGGCGCGTACCTCTTCGACAGGGTGCCGAGCAGAGGGAAAAATGCGCGGCAGCATAATCGCCTGCCTCCGAAATTCAGTGTTGATTAGACGCGCTTTCGGGCTGGATTGTCGGGAGGCTGAAGTGCTTCTTTTTAATCACTGCAGAAGCTCATTACAGCTTCCCAGTGACTCGCGTGTCCTCCAGTTCTCCTTTCAGATTAGCGCCCAGAGTCGGATGAATATTGGATGATTTCATTACATACAAATGCAATCAACAGTTTTGCATAAAATTTCTCCTCTTTTTCTTGAGTTTCAATTGACCCCAGCACCCATGGTGGTGGTAAGCACAAAACACATGCAAATGAGACAGAACTTACTGCATTAAAATATCTCTCTGTATTTGCGCGCGTGCGTGTGTGTGTGTGGCAGGGAGGGGAGAAATAAAATTACTTAGAAGTCTTCAGGGCTTCAGAAAAGCTATCCAAAAGCTTTTGGTATCTCTCCTGCATACTTATTCTTCTATAAAACATGCAACTTGGCTCACTCATTTGAGATCCTTCTCTGCAAATACTGGCTCAAGTTGCTGTTTACGGCTCTTGTTTTTCTGCCACGTTTGTTTGCAAGCTCTACAGCCGCTGTGGACACTTTATCCACAGAAGGGAAGGATATTCATAAAGAGAATAAAACGACCAGGTTTGTGCCCTTGTGCTAAGCCATAACGCCTCATTTCTCCGTTGCCCTTGTCTGGTTTCGCCCAACAGGGTAAGCTAGCACCAACCCAACCAGTGTGGTGCGTGTTGTGGCTTTCTTGCGAGGGAGGGAGGGAGCCGGTCGGAAGGGAGGGGTGCTGTGGTCTAATTGATCCAGGGGGGCGCCAAAGGATGCCTTGCATCCCTCTGTGAAGACAGAACAAGGAATGACCTACCTCTCTCAGTGCCAACGCATTTATTTTATACAGATGTTTACCAGATCTATATTTCTCCTCAAAACTATACTCCCAATTGGTATTCCCTCTTATTTCTAATGGTTTTGCCTTGGACTACCATTACTGCAACGAAGACAATGATGTTTCTGTTTCTTTGTATTGCAGAAATATACTATTACTTATTGCCAATCCCACATCTTTAGCAACGGCCTGCCCTGCAGAAATTAAACAGAGTGGTTTTCCTTCCTTTTCACTCCATACCCGAACAGCTTCCAAACACTCGCTTTTGGCATTCTAGGAACTAAGGTCACCAGCTCTCAGAATATATCAGTCTGCCAAGATCTGGTTCACAGGGTGGGGCTTCTCCCCGGGGTGAGGGGCCGAAGGTTCCAGCGCAGGGGGGTGGGTGGGGGCTACCCGGGAAGGCCTGCACAGAGGGAAAGGGAGAGTCTTAACCCTTTCATTTTCTCCTATTCATTCTTTCTGATAAGTTTTCACGAACACCCCAACTCTCTCCAACGCAAATTCTATGTGAGGTAGGTGTAAATCAGGACACAAAACCAGCCGGCATCAACGGGACGGGTGCCACGAAAGCCGTGACCCGGGAAACAGACGCAACTGCCTCGGTGCTACAAAGGCCGTACGTGGGAATCACCCAGCATCGCCTTTGTTGCCGGACACGGAATCCGGCGAACGTCGGCACCACCACCGCCTGCAAGATTTAACCCTCTCCGCAGTTCCCGTTTTATTCCGACCCGAGTCAGACTCGCCAGCCAAGAGGAGAGGGCTTCCAAGGGCTAGGGAGCCCCCCTTTCAGAGGGGCTAAGCCCTGCCACTTGGAAGCTGCGAGCCTCCTGATCGGAGGCCTGCCCCCTCTGCCTCCCCACCCTTTTCCTCCTTAATCAGCCATGCTAATGTGGAAGCTCAGTCATTATTCAGCGAAGGAGCAGCAGTGGCGAAGCTGGCAGGAATGGAGGAAGCGTCATTAAAAGCCCCCTCCAGGAGGGAGCCTTTACCTGAACGCAGCTGAAAGTTCACCTGCAACATCTGAATTTCAGAAATCCGGCGTGCCAACCGCAGCACGCCCACACTTTGTCGGAGGAGCCGCAGGAAACTCCTCACAGATCTCCTTTCATAGTTTCCCTTGACAGACTTCTTAATCAGCTTTTAATTAATAGGAGCAATCTCTTTTGCCACTGAAGCAATGGGCAAGGACGCATTTCCTGGCGGCGGGGCTCCCCCCCCCACACCGAGGGACTGACGCCTTCTTCAGCTCCCTCCCCGGATGCAGACCCATTCTGAAGCAATTTCTATAAAATAAACTCTCTAATCAGGTAAATGATCCCATACGCTAAATTGCTGCCTTGCAGCTGCTTGGTTAACCTGTTCCCCCCCCTTCCAGAAAGTTGATGGGTGGGGGCCCCGGGAACACACAGCAACTGTGTTGTCCCAATTAGAGCCAAATTTGGATTGAGGAGAAGGGGGTCCTTTGCAAAGCAGCATCGGCCGATATTTAAACCGGGATCAGGGAGGACTGGGGAGGGGGGAGCTGATGAACCGGGCTGGTTGGGAAATGGGGGTGCAGCCACGCTCCGGCCTTAACCACAGCTGCCTGCTCTGTGGGGTTCCAGTCCCACTGGGGCCTCTTCCGACCCATGGCTGCCCAGAACCAACCCCCGCGGAAGAGAGCTGGTGGACCTTTTAAATTGGGAGTCTTTTTCTGGTCGTCTTGAGGGTGCATTTGCAAACCAGGTTCCCCCTCCTTTGCAGAGATGAAGATGCAATTCGCAGAAGAGGGGCAGAGGCTCCAGAGCGTGCACGGAACACCACGCCTTTCCCCCGGGCTCTAGCGGGCAACGGGGGTGCGTTCTCAGCCCAGCTGCTGGGGGCTGCAAGTCCCATTTCGTTACTCTGTGCCCTGGGCAAACCCAGCCTGTGTGGTTTATTCAGCAAGCCACCATCAAGCAGGATCCGCACAGCCAGCCCCGAGGCCCTGCGTGGTCCTCCGGCCTTCAACCTGGCCCTCCTGCACACAGATCGGGTGGGCTCCTAGAGCAGGACCCGTGGGGGCAGCACCGCGGGGCAGAACCCCCCCGGCCGGAGCCCGTGCCGCCCGCACCGCCTGCTCCTTGACCTGTGGCATCTCCCTGGCAACCTGGAAGCATTTATGCCTCTGAAATGAATCTCTCTTGGGGGGGCCACGGGTGGTGGGGCGGGGGTACCTGCGGGCCTGGCAAGTCTGCTGCGCCGGAGACCATGATGAATTTGATTTCTTTCCTGGCAGATTGGGTTTCGACCTCCCAGACTTCCTGTCCAGCCTGGCTTTTCATTCCTTATCTATGGCCGGTTAAAGGCTGCCTCTCAGCCCCCAGCCCCCAACTTTGGAAATGGCTGCAGCCCCCCCCCCCCTTTTGCTCTCTCGCTTTCTCTCTCTAGGGAAGCAGCTGGGTCCGAGTCCAAGGCGACCCATGTTCCCCAGCGTGGGTGCCAGGCAGGAAAATGGTCACCGCCTGTCCTGCAGAGATGCAGCCACAGGATGGCTGGAGGGGCGATGCCTCGTCTTTGGCCGCATCAACCGTTCCAGCCTCCCCGATTCCAGTGAGGAAAGCTGGACTGCGAGCAGCTTTAAAAGCCCTCCTGTTCCAAGGACTCTGCCCGTGCCCTTTCCGCCCCGGGCCTGGCCCTTTCACTGAATAAAGGCCTCTCCTGTGCCTCTCCTCTCGTCAAAACGAGAGACCCCAGCGAGCCTTCGGGAGCAGGGGTTTCTCCTCTTCCGCTCTGCAATGGACGCACATCATCGTCCCAAATCCTAGAGCTGGGAGGGACTCTCTCCTGAGGCCGTCCAGCCCACCCGCTGCTCGGTGCAGGACTCCGCACTAAAAGCCCCCCGGCGGATGGCTGGCCAGCCTCTCTCTGAAGACCTGCAATGGAGGGGGCTCCACCTGGTGATGACAGGACCCAGGCTTCCCTCTATTTCCGACTGACAGGCAGCGAGTCTTTCTGTGGCTGCCACGAGGCCAGAGCCATCTTGGCAGCCATGGGGCAACCCCACCGTTTGCTGAGGGAGCGGGGCTCCACGCAGCCCAGCGGCGAACCAAACTGGGGTAGGCTCTCGGAAAAGATGGGGTGGGGGGAGCAAAAGAGATGAAACAGATGAGAACTCTGGAAAAGATCCATCGCCTGGATTTCTGACCCAAAGCCCTCCACGTTGCCAGTCCCAAATAAGGGGGGGAATACGG